ACCGTCGCCATCCACCACGGTCACCACTTTGCCAAAGACGGGGGCACCACCTTCCTTCTTCAATGTGAGTTTTATTTATTTTTTTTTAAAAAAATTTAAGTATCATTTTAGTTTTATGAATTTATTTGGAATTATTTTTAAATTTTTTTTGAATTGTTATAAATATTTTTAAATTGTTTTGAATTATTTGTTCATAATTGGTGGTAATTTTTGTATTTTTATGCAATAATTATGTATTAGAAATTATGATCAACTTTAATTTTTGGAATTATATTAAATTATATTTCAAATTAGGATAAAACTTGTGCGAGACCGACTCACAAATCCTTGTTCGTGATACGGGTCGGGTAATGATGAAAATGTAATACTAATAAGAAATACTAAATTGGAAAGTGGAATGTTTTTGGAGAAAAAATGTAACACTTTTACCTTTTGATTTCAAAGTATTTTATTTTTCCTCAAAATTATTATATTTTCCCTAATAAGTAAAAAATATTTGTCAACATTATATATAAGGGAAATTGCAATACTTATAAGGATATATGAGACGGTCTCACACAAGTGTGACCATTGAAATTATATTTTTAAAAATTTAAATAATAGATACGATGTCAGTTTATCTTAAAAACCGACATTGTGTTTATTTTTAAATTTTTTTAATAAAGAGATACGGCATTGATTTTTTATAAAAATAACCGTCATATCTTTTTAAAAAAAAAAGAATAATTAATAAAGAGATACGACGTAAATTTTGTTAAAAAACTTACACCATTTCTTATTTATTTGTTTAAAAAAGAGAAATGTGAAAAAACCTATATATGTCGTTTCACAATTTTTTTTAAAAAATTAAATAAAGAAAAGATCAATTTTGTTTTTTAAAAAATCGATGTCATTTCTTTATTTCTTAAATGGCATACGACATCAGTTTTCTAAAATCGACGTCTTGTCATTTATTTACTACGTAGTCTAGAACTACTATAAAAAAAAGTTACGTTAAAAGGATTTTTTGTAGTAGTGTCCACTGTTGAAAATGACACAAAAGAGAACTTTTAACTTCTATTAGATTTGTTTGCACCATGACTTACTCACATAAATTAGTTTGTATAGAGAAATTAAAGTTTTTCCTTTTCTTTTTCTAGATTATGTTTATGTGCGTTCTTTTGTGTTGATTTTATATTATGTAAATAAATCTAGAAATATTTAATCAAGATTGCAGCATTATTATTTGTGTATAGTTGTTGCACAAATCTATATAGAAATATTCTAAACGTGTGTATCTATAAAATAATAATAACAACAACAACAACAATATCATCATCATCATCATCATCATCACCACCACCACCACCACCACCACCACCACCACCACCACCACCACCACCACCACCACCACCACCACCACCACCATCATTATTATTATTATTATACTACATACGATAAACTTTTTATGGTAATTTTAATTAATGTGTATTATTATATTTTTTAAAGTACAACTAATACATTGATACATATATGATAAAGTTTATAGTTCCAGTCAAATGAGATCGTCTAATACTGAATTAAATTACAGTTGGCAATGGTGTTCATTACAATAGTTTGTAGTCTGTATGTTTTAATCATATACATTCTCTCATACACGATTATTTACTTTTTGTTCACATTTTAATTTATAATGTTTATTATTCTACATTTGTAAGCATGAGTTGTCAATTAGTGGGAAATTATTTTTGTAAAATCTAAACGATAAGAAAATTACTTGAATTTGATAAGATAAGTAGGATTCAGTCAGCAATTCGATATAAATGTTGTATTTGGGTACTGATTACTTGAATTTGATAACATGATTCAGATTACATGCAGAAGAAGATAGGCATAGTCCGTTGGCACAGTCCGTGCAAGTTGGTGGCACAGTCCGTGAAGCAGCCGTGCACGTTGGTGGCACAGTCCGTGCAAGTTGGTGGCACAGTCCGTGAAGCAATCGTGCAAGTTGGTGGCGCAACCTTGCATGCTGTTTAATCTGAGGGCGACGACTGGGGCCTTGCTGGAGTTGATGATTCGTCGTATAAAAAGATATGCTCCAAAATGCTAAGAAAAATCACTTTTTTCTCACACTAGCATTTCCCTTTTTTCACACTAGCATTTCTCTTAGATCGACCTAATTAAAAAAATAATAGTAACTCACTCATAGAAAAGTGTATCACATCACATCACATATAAGGTAAGACAATGAAAATGTTTAAAAACTAACTCACAATAATTGAAATTTACTTGAATTATTATTATTATTATTTTTGTATCTTTTTTCGTCTTGGGAAATTGTATGATGATCATCATCATTGCAATTGAAGCACTGGCGGAGGACCCTCTTTCCAAGTTCAAGTCCAACTATGGCCTGGGGTAGAGGAGGTTTCTACTTAGAGCTTACTGGAAACACCCAGCATGCATTGCCGCGCTACCAACTTGCACGGTTACTCCACGGACTGCGCCACCAAATTGCACGGCTGTAGTTTGGAAACTGGGCATTTAGCCCACTTGAATCTTGATTAAACATGTCTAGATTTATTTACATTAAATAAACACAAAAGCACAGGTAGAAACAAATCAAAAAAATGAGGAATTCTACTTACCAATTTACAAGAGGAAGTCTCTGCGCAAAAAATATTGTGAAAGTTGAAGCTTCTCTTTTGTGCCATTTCTTGCAATGGATCAGATCAAAACTTTTACGCTTCAACCTCAACCTATCGAGAAAAAAAACATTGTGAATGGAAGTACCAAAAGTTACAAAAAACACTAAATATATATCCAATTGCTGAATGTAATATGAATATTGTTGATCCCGGTAGGGTTGAAAAGAGAGTCTAGATGGAGGGGGGGAGGGGGTGAATAGACTCAATTCGTTTTTCACGAGAATAACTCCTTTCGCGGTTATTACGCAGCGGATATGTAATACAGATTTTAGGTTGCTTTGCACTGTTTGATCTTTTAGAATGCTTTCGGTTAGAGTCGTATGTTATGCAATGCACGAAAGTAAAGTGCTGATAGGTAAAGAGATAGAGACAAGAGATTTTTATAGTGGTTCGGCCAACTGTGCCCACTCCACTGTTCTTTCACAACTCGTGAAAGGTTTGCACTATCACTCCTAGTACAAAATACACAAAGATAGCTTCCTTGATCACTAAGCCGCACAACTACTTGAAGATTTTTCAACTCCTAGAGTTTACTCCGCCTCTATCAACGTCTTCTTCAGAGTTGAAGGTTGGATATGAATAATCTTCGAGTTTCTCCAACACGGTGAAGTCTTGACTGGCTGGTGACTTGATGAATAATCAGTGTATATAAAATTGCAAGACTTCTTCAAGGTTGTGTGAATGAGATCAGATGCGTCTTCTTCAAATATCACACCTTGAATCACTGGATTTCAAAAGCTTGAGAGAGTGAACTTGTATAAGATGCTTTTGAGAATAAGTATTCAATTGTTCTAAAAAACCAGCACCTTCTATCATGAAGAAGATGTGTATTTATAGGAGAGAAATAATCCATCCGTTGGAGGGAGATGGCATTTCAAACCTATGGTCCAGTGGTTAAAAACCAGAGAGCCTTGTGCATTTATTGCTTCATTAAATGCAGCTGTATTATTTAGACGTTGGAGACAAGCATTCTTGCTTATTTTGTCTTCTAGCTCTGAAAAGTAGTACTATGGCATTTAATGCACCTTGATAAGTGTGCTCTCATTCTTAGGAAAGTTTATTCCTAGAATGATCTTCAGATGAGACATTTGACAACATTCTTCTTGAGTTGGGAGAAGATGAGTTGTCTTGACAGTCATATCTTTAATTAAAATGTCTCTTGATTAGAAGGCTTCTTTCGGCTTCAGCTTTTTGATCTTTCGTTGTGTAGTAGAGATGAGGTTGTGCTTCATTGAACTGCTCTTCTTTCGTTGAGAGAAACCTAACTAAAAAGATCTTAACTCGGTTTCGTGTGTTTGACTAGTTTAACATGAATTACATGGTGAGTTAAGGTACTTTTCGTCTAGAACGAAGGTAACGAAATAAATGACAAAAAGTTAGGGGTCTACTTCTAAGTTACATTGGTATCATCAAAATCCTAATACATGTGTTCCTAACAATTTCCCCCTTTTTTGATGATGCTAAAACCTATACTCTGCTTATAAGGCCGATAATTATCCCATAAAGGATTTTTCATTTCAAAACAGCCAAACAGAAGAGTTTACACTTAGTTTCTAATGAATGTGAAACAATACAAGTAAACAGAGCTGATAACTTAGATAAAGACACAGTAGATTGAATCAAAGGTGACTTTTATAAAGATAAAAAACACTTACAAAATATTGTCAATGGTACTGTGGAAAAGAAACTTTTACATCTCTAAAAGTTTCGCCTTCTGTAGCTGAGCTTCTTCTCTTTCCTTGTCATCTCTTTCTTTCTGTTTCTTGAGCATCCTCTGCATGTCGATGTCTCGGTTGATATGCTCTCTGAATTTTTGGATTGAACTTTCTTTGACAATATCTTCATATTTTCCTTTGATATTACAACTCACATAATTGTTGTATGCTTCGAGGATGTTTTCTCCTTCAATGATGCCAAGATTCCACCAGGCGATAAGCTCAAATGAGTACATTCCTTCGGTGTAGCTCTTTCCAGATTCTTTGTGAATTTTGAAAGCAGCATTATATTTGACTCCAGGCTCAACATTTTTCTTGACTTTGGTAACATCCCTTATCTTCTCTTTTATTATTTCTCGTTCAGTCAGCTCCTTTTCTCTGGCAAGTCTCGCTTCTTCTTGCTTATTCCAAAGCTCACGATTCGCTTTCTTGATCTCTTCATTCCTTTGAGTCTGATGAACTTGCCTGAAGTAATTATCTCTCTTCTTCATCCACACAGGTATGTTGTACCCTTCAAAACAATTTCCACTCCCTTCTTCATATGGTTGGTACGTGTGGAAATTTCCCACGACATCCATGGTCACAGTGTCCTTACGCATCAGCCTTTGGCGAAGGTTCTTTTTCTCTCTGTCGTTTTTCCAGAAAATGAGAATTCAGAGGTGGATCTGAAGGATTGTCGAGGTTTCACCGAATGTTGTTGTCTGGATTTTGAAGAGTGTTGTTGTCGAGATCTAGATCTTGGAGGTGGTGATCTCGTGTTTCTTGGAGGAGGGTTTCTTCTCTCTTCATGTCTCGTGGAGGATTTTTCTTCATTGTTTCTTCTAGATTCACCACCACGTGGTGGTGATCTATTTCTGTCTTCGTCCTTGTCATCATCCTTTCTTGGCTTTTCCCCCTTTTTGGCATCATCACACGGGGAGTCAGAAAACCTGGTTAGACTTTTAACTGCATTAAGAACATCCTTGACATACTCGAGCATAGTGAGCTGATATTCTGCCATCTGAAACATGTTGTTATGCCCTAGGTCTATCTTTGTACATGCAAGATCAACTCGGTCTTTGAGGCCGAATTGTGTATGTTTGAGAGCATGTTGTTCCTTAGCAATTTTGTCAAGAATAGCACGTTGTTGATGGAGTTCGTGTGCTAGCTTGTCATGAGTGTTTGATTTGGAGGAACTAGGTTGACGATGAGACATGGTTTGCATCAGATGGTCCACTTTGGCAGAATGGTCTACTATGTTTCGGCTGTCTTTTTCTCGGTGATCCAGATATTGCTTATGAATAATCTCAGCATTAAAGAGTGCATTCAGCATTTGGTGCATGATGTGCTCGGGACTAAGATAATCGATGCCAGGCTCTTGGTCAGGATATGGATTCATAGGATTGCGAAGAACACCTCTAGGTTCAGATGGAAATTGCTGTGCTTGAGGTGATGCTTCCCGGTTTTCATCATGAGGTGATGCATCCTTGTTGTCATCACGAGCTATATCTGGGTGAGGTAGTGGCACGGCGAGAGATGAATCACAAGGGGGATTTTCTTTTCGTGGAGATGAGCTAGGGGATGGTGATCGTTCATGTATATGTTCGGTGTTGCCTATGACAGAAGATTCACTATCATAGCCCGAATCTCCATCATATTCATCATCGTTGTCTGAATCATTATCACCATGATCATTGTTATCATCTTTTCCTTCATCATCGTCGTCATCATCATCATTATTCTGCTCATTATCTGATTTCTCATCATCGTCTTCATCATCTTCGTCATTTTCAGCATCTTCTTCATTACCTTGGCCTTCATCGTTAGCATTTCCATCCGAGTCAGAGTTCGCCTCACTAATATCGTTTCCAGAGGACCTTTCGTCTTCATTTTCAATCTCCTTTCCTTCGTCATCTTTTAGCCCCCTGACATTACACGCCGGATCGTTCTGATGAGTCCGTTCTAACTCTGTCTTGACTTTAGACAGGAGAAGAGCATATCGAAACTCTTTCATTTCTTCGACGAAAGATGGATCCAACGGCGGCTTGTTTAACTCAATGCAAATGGGAGCTTTTTCTTTCCCAAGAGTGCGATGGGTCACCTTGTAAGAGTACACACGATTGATGGTTTCGAGACGTATTGCTTCATAGACGTCTTGTGTGCCGATCCACTCTAGAGCAAACTCTTCTTTATCCTCCATCTCTTCAAATGTTTCAAGGAAAGTCTGCAAGGGAGAAGTTTGCCACGTTTTCCGTTGCATGACCCGATTAAAATCGTTCTCAATGGATTCTCGAAGCAGTTGATCTCTTGATGGAGGAATTGGTACAGCTTCGGGTACTGGTGCAACTGCTCGAGATTTCTCAATTATGACTGGTTCTTGTAATGCTTCAGGCTCGGGTATATATATGTATATGTATATATATATATATATATATATATATATATATATATATATATATATATATATATATATATATATATATATATATATATATATATATATATATATAGGGAAGGGATCAGGTGCATTTGTTGCTTTCCGTGCGGTTGTGGGGTGGATTAATGTGCGTGAGGTTTATACTTAATGTGCTTGAGTGTTGTGCTTAATGTGCCTGAGATTTGTACTTAATGTGCGTGATGTTAATATGCGTGAGTTTTGTACTTAATGTGCCTGAGTATTGTGCTTAATATGCGTGAGATTTGTGCTTAATGTGGCGTGAGTAGTTCAGAATTACGAGCTCAGAAAGAAGCAGAACAAAAAACTCACGCACATTAACGCCCAAGCTTCTTGTTACTTCTTCCATCAATTTGTTCATGGATTCTGGATTATCAGCTACCTTCAGTACAGTTGAATGTTTATATATATGACGCACGCACAACAAAATTTGCACACTAGCTAAGTGTGGATTTCTATTGTATTATTCTCATAATTCTTAATCACCATAGCTCGCCTCTGCATCATCATCATCACGGAGGGGGCAATGATGGGGAAGAAGCTGATATCCATATTTTCTGCTGCATTTTACACATTCACGCAAATTAAGTACAAATATCAGGCACATTAGACACAATACTCACGCATATTGAGTACAAATCTCATGCACATTAATAACCGCACAACTGCACAGGAAACATTCAACCGCACGGGAACCTTTCACTATATATATATATATATATATATATATATATATATATATATATATATATATATATATATATTAATCTAATCTAGACCATTAAAAAATATTAGATGGATGCACATGATGTGTTCTCACGTTCTCACCTAAGCATATGTTCTCATATGATCCTAACTATATATATATATATATATATATATATATATATATATATATATATATATATATATATATATATATATATATATATATATATATATATATATATAATGCTCATATGTGGTCATGTTGTTAGGTGTGATCGTGTGACGGAATTTTAGAATACACCAACAGTCTTAACAACATGCACCAACAGTGTAAGGAAAACACACCATAATGAAATGCAAAAAAAAAATACCAAAAAATACACAACAGACTCAAAAAATACACCATGTAACTTACCAACCCTAATTGTGTATTTCCGAACACTGTATGGTGTTTCTACTCAGACATAATGGTGTGTTGTTGGTGAAGCGTACCTAATTTGTGTGCGTTTTTTGTGGTGCATTTTCTGACGTTGATGGTGTATATCTTACTAACTATTGGTGTATTCTGGAAATCGCCACATGACCACACGGGAAGGGGTCGCCACACCTGAGTGCGACCCTATATATATATATATATATATATATATATATATATATATATATATATATATATATATATATATATATATATATATATATATATATATAATTACATTCAGGTAAAAACACATCTTAAAGTACAAACATGTGGACTAATCTGGGCCATTGGATTTTACATTTGGATGGCTGTGATTCCAGCGTGTGGTGTAGTGTTATTTTAATGTGTTTTTATGTTAAGGGGGTTAGTTATGGTATTTTACTAGTGTTGAAACCTAATCAGATTGGTTTTCAATTTTCACGCGCACTGGTTTCTCTATTCTCTCGTTTGTTTTGTGTTCGTGCGTAGGAGGGTTTGGACATGCTCCGCGAATGGCGTCGGCTCTGCGAGTTTGTTCCTTCGTTCTTCAATTCCACGTAGCCATGATTGTCGGGGGACCGTGACACACTGAAGAGGCGGGGACCACCGAGTGTTAGCCAAGGTTAGCTCGCTTTGTTTAATCCGTATTTTTAAGGGGGGGGGGGGGGGGGTTGTTTTTTCTGCCATTTTTCTCGTTCAACGGTGGGGTTTTGTTATTTCTTGGTCGGTAGCTATTGTTTTTGGGGTCGGGGGTGTGGGTATTGCCCTTATTTGGCCGAATTTGGTAGTTAGGGGTTTTTTTTTGGGGGGACGTGGAGGGCTAGTCCGGTGCGTTCTGGTGGTGGTTTGGTGGCCTCTTCGGCTATGCACGACGGCAGTTTGGTGGCCTCTTCGGCTGTGCACGACGGGTGTTGGGGAGTGGGTTTTTTTTTTTTTTTTTTTTTTTTTTTTTTTTTTTTTTTTTTGGGTTTACTGGGACGGGGAGTGTTGGTCCGTTAGGTTCTGGTGGTGGTTTGGTGGCCTCTTCGACTGTGCACGACGATGGTTTGGTGCCGGGGGTGTTGGGAAGTGTTCTTCTCGGCGGTCCACGATGATGGGTCGGCTTTGGGTGCAATTGTCAACCATATGCATAGTCAATCTTTTAGGCAATTGTCCACCTGGATCTCCATCAAATGAGCCTTCATCTACTTCAGCCCCTTCATTTTCCTTATCTGCACAAGATAATATTAACAAAAATTAATTTATCATGAGAATGTTTATAAAGCTATGGGTGTATACTAAAAGTAAATGGCATAGTTAATATAACACTCTCACTATCACTCAGTGTTAAAAAAAAAAAGTTGGATTGGGGTTGTTTGACAATATTGAGAATGAGTACTTGGGTGTGAGCCAACACACGAATGACACATGCATATTTCTTCATCTTCTCAAGCTGTGCTTCAATATCCTTCTTCCCACTTTGACACTGGTTTTTGCAGGGAAAAATAATGGAAAAGGATACTACATTTATCAGAAGGAACAAAACCAAAACCTGATCCTTCTGTGCTTCCAATCATAGAGGAGTCTAGAAGGCTGATAAATATTATGCCTGGTGGGAAGGTATGACTTCCAAGGAAATGCAGTCTTTTCTGATTTATTGCTCCAAAATAGATATTCATTATTCAATGATTCATGCTCTATTTAGAAATTGTAGGAAATGCAGTCTTTTCTTTCTTTTTTTTTATTCCTCCAAAATAGATATTCAATTATTCATGCTCTATTTAGAAATTGTATAGTTTTTATACGTGGTTCACATTTAGTAATTGACTAATGTCTTAAATTTATGTCCAGCCAATATCTGTGACTGACCAAGAAATTGTCGAGATGGTTCTCTTTCCAATGGTGAATGAGGCTTGCTGTGTTCTTGATGAAGGGATGATCGTCCGAGCATCAGATCTTGATGTTGCATCTGTTCTTGGAATGAGCTTCCCCTCTTACAGGTTAGTCTTTGCATTGTTCTTTAAAATCTGCTCATGTATGTTATCGTCCATTGTCAAATTCAAGCAGTCTTATTTGAAAGATTTATGATATTTACTAATAGAACCAAAAACATTAAGAACACAACCGTGAAGTAGAAACATAGTATATCACACTAATGCTATTTACTACAGTAAACTAAACAAACAGACTTTTTTTTGTATGCTCTAGACAAACAATTTTTTTTTTTTTTGGTATCTTTGCAGTACATTATCAGTATCTTGAGACTATAGTCCAGTCTCAAGATACTGATAATGTTGCAAAGATAGGCCATCACAGTGCGGGATAAAAAAAAGGAGTTAAAAATATTAGAATTGAAATTGATGGAATCATGGCAGGTAATCAAAGATAAAATTGATTTCCATCTTGTTTGCACTAGGTACAATGCAATGCCATCAACAATTTATCTTTCTGAATCCAAGTGTATGCATGGGTTGGTCTGGGTGTATGCTCATGTTTTACTACATCCATTTATTGTTTTTTTTTTTTTTTAGATCAGAAGTCTAAGGTGGCACATTGTGCTACAAGTGGATGGGTCACAGTCTTGTGTGAGCGATGACGACTTCATTTCGTCACCTTTGGCCTTCTTAGCGAGGTTGGAACAAGAACGACTGTGGAATGCACCTGATGATGATGTGGCATCTGAAGAGGATTCTAGGGGTGAGTTGTCGTTTGAAGGCCAATCAAAAATTACATTTCTTTACATTTATCATACATTTTTTAATAGCACATCGTTTATTCGAAGGCATCGTAATATTTTTTTTTAAGTGTATGCACACTGTTTTTTTTTTAGATGTATGCACACATTATTTGATTACAGGTGCACACTAGGTATGATCACCCATGCACACAGGTTTGGCTTGCGTGAACATAGTGAACATAGTGTGCATATGCATGCATAGAAGTGGGTTGCTTGCACACGGGTTTCTATAACTATGCACACGGGCTTTTATAGCTATCCCCTTCTCACGGGTTTAGGAAGTATCGACAACTGTACTAAGCTAAATAAAACACCAAATAACGATCGAAAAAACTGATATAAACAACCACCAGAAAACATAAAAAAAAATAAAAGAAATAAAATTATAAACAAATTTAGGAGAACACAGGTAATTCCATTAACGGTGCACACAAAAGGAAGCATATGCGCACAATCCTGTGCGGCACAATCCTGTGCGGGGAGTAGGTACTCCGAATTTGTAAAAAATCAAACGCACACACTAACAAACGCTTGTGCACACATGTCTAGAGTGAAAGTTAATACAAGTAATAGATGACTAAGATATAATAACCAGCGCACACACTAAGCATTCATCCGACGAGCATAGCATCGAAACTAAGATATAATAACAAAAGCAAGCACACCAAGCATTCAACCGACGAACATAACATTGAAATTAATAAATACTAGCAGAAGTATCTAACTAAACAATGGTAAAAAATACTGTGAGCACACTATGTAGTACTTGTGTGCATGTTATTGGGAACATCAAAAGAAAACCATAGGAGCTATTGAAAAAATCAAACGCAGACGCTAACAAATGCCTGTGCACATATGGATAGAGTAAAACTTAATATAAGTAATAGATGACTAAGATATAATAAACAAAGTAAGATGACTAAG